GGTATAAAAAGGATATCTTGTCTTCATATAAAGGATGGTTGAGCATAAGTAGCTTATTGTTGTTTACTACAGCGCGGACAAGTAACTCTTTCGCTTCCTCGTGTTTCTTCTTCAGAATGTTGCAGATCTGTAATGATAAAACAAAAGGGGATATAAATTAAATAGTTTGAGAGAGATGTTGTATTTTGAGAATGTTCATAATTGAAAGTAGAGAAGCTGTGTTTCTACGTTTTCGAGTTCTTTTGTATACGCTTCAGCTTTCTCTACGTTGTCATTATTCTCCGTGATTGGGATCTCTAGATTTGCCATGTTTATGATCTGGTGATGAGACTTAATCCGTGGACTGTTATTGTTGACAAGCTCCTTGGTTGTATTGTTATCTGTTCTACTCTCTTGGATTGAGAACTGAAAAAAAAATCGATTTGTGTGAAAAGTGTTTAAGTAAATTAAACAAAGAAAGGTTGTTCTGGTAATAATCACAGGGATCTAAATGCTGAATCTAACCTTTTCTTGTGCAACTCTATGTGTAAGCTCCTCAACATTCCTGTGCGATCAGCGGAATTATATAAACGGTAAGTAAGAACCAAGCAAAGTTATAGATATGGTTAAGAGATTAACCAAAACTACAAACCTGTTTTCTCTTGGAGACATGGAAAAGCGTTTAAGTTGTGGCGTCAATGATTTATCTGCATCCTGTGGAAAACAATACTTTTTCTTAGAGCTCCATAAATGTTATAAAGTAAGAACATCGAAGATTTGAGTTGAAGGATCAACCTCATCAAGAGCTTTCCGCTTTAAAGAAGTTGGGCATTGCAGGATTTGTGTTTTGTCTCTAGGAGCCAAATGATGAATCTCAGAGCTCTTTTTAACTTGTGTTTCGGTATTTTTCTCCTTGTTTATTGAAGAGCTAACTTCTGGTTGCACTGCTGAACTGGGTTGGTCTTTATATACTCCAATGGTCCTATAGTGGGAGAGATTAGGGAATTTGAATATGATATGTGATTGAGAGATTCCATACCAGAAACTGTTGTGTTCTTTGTATACCTTTGAGTTTTTGCTGCACGTAGATCAGACATGGTATTTCCATGTTTAGGCCTTTCAAGAGATACGATCTTGGACTTCTGCAAAGATTCGGCTCCAGAACTCAAATGCTTGCTTAGCTTCTGAGTCAAGCTCGATGCATCAAGTTTTGAGCTGTGACAAAATACAAAAGCTCAGAAAGCTTTGATGCAAAACCTTATATAGTTGGAAGTTGCAGGATAGCAATGAAAAAAGGTACATTCTAATGAATTTCATAGACGTGAGGTTAGATGCGACTGGTTCATTTATACGCTGTGAATGCATGTTGAGTAACCTGTTTCGAATATCAAAAATATGGCAAGAGATAGAAATGAGTTTGTCTCACCTTATATTTATCTGCAACATGGACCTCTCTCTAGTTGTATTTTTAGCTTGCATTTTTGAACGATCCAAGAGTCCAGACACATGTTCTACAGTTTTAGCATTTGAATGGTCCTTGTGTATTATCTTCTTTTCAAAAGAACTGCTGGTAAAAATAGTTGGGTTTGTTCCTCAGCTTATATCATCTTGAAAGAAAACGGGAAGTGTATTCTTATGAGTATAAAGCCAGAATCTAAGCGTACCTGCTAGTACTGACATTTTCTACATTCTTTTCAGAATCCGTGTTGACAAGCTCCAATGGACCTCTTTTAGTTCTGGATCCAGGTAATGCATCTTTAATACCAGAACTGCATGTTGGAAACAAAGGGGATAGTGAAAATATAGTTTAACCAGAGACCGAAAGAAGTAGATCTTACCTCCTATCATCTGTAGAGTTCAAAGTCAACCCTTTCCTTTCTCGGTTATCAGGCCGAGATTCTGTCCGAGCTGGAGAGGGTTCAACCACATGGGATTCTGGCGTTTTAAAAAATCTGGATCGGATAAGCCCGGAGTCTTTGTTTTGCGTGGCCTTCAAATCACTGAGGCCTGGCACGCTGCAGTCAGTTTACAGAGTACAGCAGTTAGATATATATTTCAGTTTCCAAGTTTACTGGCAGAATGATAAACTACCCATATATTTTTGAGAAATAATAAAAATGGTCTTGGTTTGATCTAACCTGTGGGATGAAGCCAGTGGTAGCTTTGCATTTGAATCTTGTATCTGGATTGTCTGAATCGAACAAGTAGGTGGTGATATTTTTCCTGAGAGAGGTCCGGCATCTGGATCATGTAGTGTTCTTCTTGTTTGATCCACTTTTTCTGCCTGTGTGTCTGTATCCATTACGCTGCAATCAGTTTAGAGAATAATAGCAGTTAGTTAATATATTTCATTTTCCAAGTTTAATTACTGGCAGAATGATAAAGTACTCATAAATGTTTGGGGAATGATAAAAGTAGTCTTAATTTTTCTAACCTGTGGGATGGAGCCAGTGGTAGTTTTGTACTCAAATCTTGTACCTTGGAAGTTTGGCTTGGACGAGTGCCTGATGATATATTTCCGGCATCTTGATCACGTAGTGTTCTTCTAGCCTGATCCTGTATTTCTGCCTGAGTATCTGTACGCATTTCTTCCTGTTGATGTTCAGTCTTGTCCAAGCATAACTGAGATGAAATGTTTGGTTCTGTCTTCTCATAACTTGATTCCATGATGGAAGTCATTTCTGCAGTAACTTGATCTAGATCTCTAGGAGAATCTTCTTTTGTGCCAGACCTGCAGATTTCCTGGATATCTGGACTGGTTTCTCTGTTTACTGCGGTGTGTTCAGTCTCAGAAGCATGTAATGGTGAGGATGCTGTGGTCTCATTTGCAGGATATGGTTCATCTATTTCTTCAACAGTTGAGAATGATGTCTTCGATGGTGAAGTGTTTAACCTTGGACTTTGAGGTGATTCCACTGCCTCAGAATTTTCGATGCTCTCTGGTGTTGTAGCTTGCTTCGATTGTGTGCTACTATCAACAACCATAGTATCTGTAGTGTTGGAAATTTGGTTCTCTATTTCAGCTGAAGCATTTGCCTTGACATTCGTCTTTGCTTTGGAGGAAGCTTGACCAGTTACCGGTAAGTCTAGATCAAAGTCCAAAGCATCTGGCTTATCAAATTTTCTTCCAGCAGGAATTTCTTTGCAATCCATGGTCTTGGTCATAGTTTCACGTCCCTTCTTCGGTGGGCTTGAATCAAGATCAAAGTCCAAAGCATCTGACTTATCAAATTTTCTTCCAGAAGAAGTTCCTTGGCAATCCATGGTCTTAATCTCGCTTCCCTTCTTTGGTGGGCTTGAATCAAGATCAAAGTCATCTAAACTGTTTGCAGAAAAAGCATGGTGCTAAGTGTAATTTCAGATAGACATAAATATGATTTCTAAAAGGATATTTGATATAATGAATTCATACGCATTAAAGTCATAAGAGAAGGAAAACAGATCCTTTTTCTGTTTGGCTTTTCCAGTAGATTTATCATCAGAGCTTTCTTTTGTTTTAGTGGTTTTCTTGGATGGGCTTGAGAAATCAAAGTCTGGCATGTCCATTTTGAATGATGATAGATTTCCAAAATCTCCGTCCAGATCGAAACCCATATCCCT